TTCGATAGGCTACATGCTACGTACACCATGCTCAAATCTCGAACGGACGGCATAGCTCGCTCGGTTCCATCCCAACCACGCTATCCCTCCGAGGTCGAATGCTCGATAGCATTCTTCTCTAAAGGGCCAAGAACACTGGTTCGTACATCGGCTAGCCTATGCAATTTGTGTGTAGGTCAATTCCAATCCCAACACCGCTACGACTCTGAACGGTGGTAGGATGTGCGGCGCATTCCAAACGAAGAAAGTTCAATGCCAAGAGCTTTGTCGCTTTCACCTAGCGCATCCGTGCGTTGGTAACATAGAGCACAGAGACACAGAGCCACGCTCCCCGCTGCGTTGGTTCGAAGCAAACTGTACACTTACCTCCGCGGACGGTTCTTTGTGCGAAATTTCCGTGTGCGAAATTGACGGGTTGGCAGCTGTGCAAATGCAACACTTTTATCGCTCGAAACGCGTGGAAATGGTGCTGAAGGGCCGTGGTACCCGAGTGCCGTCTCCACAACTCCGCCCGCGCTATTCTCAAGGTGTAGCGCTTGCATCGCTGTGTAGGTCTCGCAGCGACACTCATACCCAGCGGAAGAACGCAATCAGAAGAGAGAGAGACGTTTGCATCGTCTGCGGTAGGTCTCACAGAGAAACTCGTGTCCAGCGGTAGAGCACAATTAGAGGAGGGAGAGAGAGAGAGGAGAGAGGAAGAGAGAGAGAGAGAGAGAGAGAGAGAGAGAGAGAGAGAGAGAGAGTTGCGCGTTTGGGTATGGCTAAGCGCTCCGCTGGCCGGGGGGCAACGCGGGCGGAGTATGGAGTGGGCACGCGTGCATCACAATCTCCCAGCCTTTTGACCGGAGGTAGTGACACGCCACTGCAGTTCCGAACCCACTACACTCAGCAACGACTACAAACAATGGAGGTGAGTACATATCTTATCCATAAAGGCAAACTCGAGATCATTTGCCATCCCAGATAGTGGATTAGGAATCTGCATATAGACGACAAGGTCTGAGTAACTCGATAGTGAAGAAAAAAGCAGAAAAAACATGCCAACTGCCCTAGATAGAACCCCATTCCGATCCCAGTTTGTACGTGCCCAATTAACTCCATCTCCAACACTACGCCCTCATCCGCACAGCTGATTCCCCGATAAGAACTCTACGACCGTACAAGTGACGATTTTCATGCTTTTTCGTCCTGCAGCTTCGTTTTTCACTGAAAGCGGGCCTTGAAGGCGGAGTCTGGAGGCGGAGTCACTGGAAAAAAGGAGGCGTCACTGAACCTATATTGCGCTATAGCGCCCCACTCACATTTTTTGCCGCGAAACCGGTACAAAGTTGTTCATCGCGGATTACGCTACACTCCCGACGCCATAATTTCAACTTCTATACCTGGTCGCGGACCAAGCCTTTAAGCTCAGTCCAGACTAATAAACACAGAATCAATTATGATCAGACACCTAGTTATGTAACCGTGTTAGAATGGCGTCACATCAACTATTACTAACTACCCCAAAAACTCAAAACAAATTTTTTTTGGTGAAACTTTGTCCATAAGGGTAATTCGATGATCACGAGTACGATATTCGCTTATGACGCTGGCGCCATTTGGCATCATTAGGCGTCAATCTGGCGCTAACCACTTCTCCCACAAAAATCGGTATAAACTTGGATATTGGGGTTATTCGGTACCCTGATCAATAGAACATTTTTTAGCCCTCCGCTTGGCGGCATTACACGCCGATTTGGCCCCACAACCTTATCAATAAGGCTGAGCCTGGGAGGGAGAGATTTACGCCAGGCTCAGTCTTAGCACGGCGCAAATGATGGTAGTGCCCTCCACAGGCGCCAGCGTCAAAAACGATTGTCATATTTGTAATCAGATGTCGAATATCCCGTGTACAATTTTCAGCGGATCTGGTGACCTAGGTTTTGGCGCCGGCGCCTGTGGCGCGGGCGCAAGGCAGTTTCAGGTCGAGCAAAGCGATATTCATTTCCAGGAGGTCAAACTACCCTGGACACTAGTTTTCAGCGAATTCGGTGATTTACAGCTTTTAGCGCCGGCGCCTGTGGCGCGGGCGTCAGGCAGCCTCAGGCCAGGTGGGTGATATTCGGGAAGTAAAACTACCCGTAGACCCTATAAGCCGAGTCCGCCTCCTTAGGAGAAAATCCGGCTTGTATTCGGGAAATTGAGGTATTGATAGTTGAATAATGCCAAAATGGCTAACTTTTAATCTGATAGGGCCAAAATGCAGCCAGATGCGCTGCATCATGACGGAAAACAGTAAAAGAACCGCATGCGGGCGCATCCTGAAACAACCGTCAGTGTTTCCCAGGGCACATCATTGGTAGGGGATTTTAGTCTAGTACGCCCCTCCCCCTTTTTTTTCGGGAGTTGGTACGTACGACCCCCCCCAGCCCTCTATCCTCCTCATCGAATCGAGCCTCCAGCGGGGGGGGGGGGGGTAAATAGCACATGTGAAACAGGGTGAAACAGGAAAAGTAGCGAGACAATACGACCACTCCTCCCCCTTCTACCAATTCTCAGATTTTCTAAAACTTCCTGCCCTTTTTTCCAAAATTTCCCGAAAACTTCCCTACTTTTACCAAAAATTTTGCTGTCGAGCGGGGGGCATATAGTACGCATAAAACAGGAAAATCACCAAAAGTCAACCACCACTCCTACAACGCCAAAACGTAAATACGACCCCCTCCCAAAAATGACCAAGTACGACCCCCCCCCCCCCTTTACAACGTCCATGAAGCGAGAAAAATCAACTATCAAAATAAATTTTTCCCAGCCCAAATACGACCCCCCCCCATTGGGGATTCCCAACAACGATGTGCCCTGGTGATTGAGGGATTGCTGTTCCGTTCTTGTGTGCACTAACTGATACGGTAGTCAAGGGCTGGTGTAATTGCACAAGTTACAAGTTAGGCAACAACGCTACAGCTGTGATGACTGGTTAGGCAATATTTTAAGTAAGCATTCGAAGAAATGTGCCAAATGTTAGTGCAGTGAATGAAATAGGAGAAAACTGGCCAAACATTAGGGCTATTGTTGGGCTTCGGAACAGAGCTATTGTTGACTATTCCAGTAGACAGATGACCTGGCGAACATAAATCCACTTGAATGGCATGAAATTCTTACCGTAGTTTGCCCAAATACAAGAAAGAAGTTGGCTACGCTTGTCCAGCGGCGACCACGGCGACGACGTGCGACGCTGCCGCCGCGAATGCCGCAGCAGGGACGGCCGCAACCTACGATTGCTCGCGATTCCGGAATCGTGCGAAATTCACTCAATCGTTGGTACCGATCCCGATCATGATGAACTAACCCCCAAACCCATATCCCCTACTTGAAATAAAGGTAATCGACCGAAGTTCACAACCCCATTCCCATCGCCATCTGTGCAGCAGCTGCGATCAATGGAAAACGCCGCCGCGACGCGACCGCGCGCACCAGCGATGTTGGCGACCGCCGCTTCAAACAACGGCCCTTCATCAATTGTTCTTTATTTTTTTCCTGTTTTTGATCGACGATCCACGAGGTGTTTCTCAGATGTGTGCGGAGTAGGCTCAGGGTGATTTTGAGGTGGGTTTATGGGAAAAAAGACGAAATTGGCATGGCGGACCACATGCAGACGCAGGCCTTTCGGCAGGCTGCTGCATTCGCGGGGTATCTCGCCATAGTCGCCTTCGCATGGCGCGAACTTTGCTAGAGCAAGCAGCCCGCCGGTCCGTTTCGGTTTGCAACGCAGAAATATAGGAAAGTTGGGGAAATATCAAGAAAGGAATGAAACTCGGGTGGTTCACCCAACGGCTTCCTTCATGGCACTTATTCATTCATTTCTATGTGGTTTACTTTTCTGTAGTTGTTGTTTCTTTGTTGTTGTCCATTACTTCAACATATTCCACACTGATTTGTTGTCAGGATATTAATCTGAAAGGCTAACAGTACCTGGAAATCGGCTGCCCTCCATAAGTTCTCCTAAAGCTCGCTTATTTATAAGCATTCAAATGTCTTTGCACTTCTCGCGGGATATGATGTGTGCGGCGCGATCCCGGATAGACTGCAAACCATCGCGCTTTCTCTTATAACCTCAGGCAGATTTACTTTTTATACTATGTTATTTGTATTACTATGTTATTGGTTTCACCGACTTTTCCACCAGTGTGCCGTTTTTTGTTTTCAGCCCGTCTGTAAAGGTCTCAGGGTAGCTGCCCGCCGCTGGGCATTCTCCTCCCTTTTTCTCCACATCCCTTCCTTTTCTTCCTCTCTCTTCACTTTCCTTGTTTTCCTCCCTTCAGATGCCAAGTCAGGAGATGCGATGAGAAAATATCTCGGGACCCTCGCTGCGAGAGAACATCCAGCTGACAGGAACCGTGTATTCATCTGCAAACCGCGAGCATCTCCCTGCTCCTTCCCTTTTTCTTCCTCATTTTCCTCAGCTCATTGGTCCAGCCACAAGTCGCGGCGAAATAATGCCGTCGAACTCTCTCATCGAGAGAAACCGATTTACATTCGTCTTATAACCGTATTGTTTTACAGGATCCACGGCACAAATAACGATTCTTCGGAGCAAGAAGATACTGGATCTCATTTTGAAAACTCAAGTTCAAATAAATAATGGAACGGCGAAAGCGGAAATCCGCTCTGGCAAATTATCTCAACAGTCTCAATGATCCGCCAGAAAAACTGAGGAAGATTTCTGATTTTTATCATAGTCTACGGCAGTTTTATAAACGAAAATGGTAAGCAACAAGAGTTCTTATTCTATTTTCGTGGAAATGCTGTACTCCTGTTTATCTTATCTGCATCACTGATGCACTTTATCGTGTTTTAGTATAGCTGAGGCTGCGTTTATAGTTGCGTCAGGGTTTTGAGCGTTTCAAGAAAAGTATGGGCATTAATCCGGCATCCGCCAGCGTGGGCAGCTTTTTGAGCGTTGCGAGCGATTAGGAAGGCATTTCGCGGGTAGTTTTAAGCCTTTCGCGGGCACTCGCTGGAAGCGCTGACGCAAAGTGTGAAACCTAGCGTCTGTCTTAGCGAACACCTAACGACTCTCCTGTTTCGTTACGTCAACGCTGTTGTAGTGTATTAAGTAAATAAGAACTTCTGTTTGGTCTTCTTTTTGAGAGGATTAGTTTCATTTACACCATCGCTTGCAGGAATGCGCCACTGAAGCTACCGACTGTGCAGGGAGTGGAAGTCAATCTTTTCCGATTATACGATACTGTCATGGCTCTGGGGGGATGGCAAAAAGTGAGTTATGAAGTCATTTCACGGACGTTTCTGAAACTGAACGGAATGCTACAGGTGGCCATGCATGAAAAATGGTCTGACGTCGCAGAAATGCTTGGTGTTGGTGAAGATGTTATTGGTGGAGATCATGCTATCAAACTGCTCTACATGAGGTACCTTATACTTACTTATTTTTCTGAGCCTCTTAGAATTTTTTTGGTCGTTTCGTAGCTGTGCCTTGTTGAAAAAAACTCAAAAAATTTTACAGTTTTACCCTACTACAAAGGCAGAAGTCGTCGGCCTAATAAAAAAATTTTTTCCCTCACGATCCCCATCCCCTCTTCCTCATCCTAACTGCCATCTTGCTTAATTTTTCTGCCGAAGGATTTTCTCACCACTTTTCCAGGAGTTTCTCGAATATCTCCAGAACGAGAGGGAGGGGTTTATACAGCGCACTTATATTAGGTTGTCCGGAAAGTTCTCAGCGTTTTGTGTTACTATTTTTTGTACATTCATTGCTGATTAAAACTCATTCTCCCTTGCGTCTCAGTAGTACATCCTGAAGAGAATTTTTGCGCTATCTGATGGTATAATTGCCGTTTCACCATTGCTTGATAAACCCCCTTTTCCCAAGACTTTTTGAAGCATGTCTTCGGACGATATTTTTCTTCAACTACAAATTGGGTCAATCCGCAGTCGAGACAGCTCGACAAATTAACCAGGTGTGGGGGCCCAATAGTGTTGGAGAAAGCACCGTGCGACAATGGTGACAAATTTCGTTCTGGAGATTTCAGCCTTGAAGATGAACCTCGTAGCGGTCGACCTAAAGCAATACCTGACGAGATTTGAAGGCATTTGTGGAGGCTGACCCATCCCAAACAGTTCGAGAGATTGCAGAAAAGCTAGGCGTTGGCAAATCCACTGTTGCAGATGGTCTGAAACGCATTGGGAAGGTGAAAAAACTCGATAAGTGGGTGCCCCACAATTTGAGTGACCGGCAGAAATTGGCACGTCTCGAGGTTTCTTCTTCACTGCTTTTGCGCAACAGAAACGACCCGTTTTTGGACCGAATTGTCACCTGTGATGAAAAGTGGATCATGTATGATAACAGGAGACGTTCCGGACAGTGGTTGGATGCCGACGAACCACCGAGGCAATTTCCAAAGCCGAAAAAAAGATTATGGTCACAGTGTGGTGGTCATCGGCTGGTGTGATCCACTATAACTTTTTGTCACCAGGCCAAACCATCACAGCAGAGTCCTACTGTGAAGAAATCGACGAAATGTACCGAAAATTGCGTCAGCTGCAGCCAGCACTTGTCAACAGAAAGGGTCCGATTCTTTGCATGACAACGCCCGCCCACACGTTTCACAAATCACTATCCATAAATTGAACGAATTGAAGTTCTACCTCACCCGCCATATTCTCCAGACCTTTCACCAACCGACTATCACCTTTTCAAACATTTTCAGAACTTCCTTGCTGGAAAATACTTCATCAATCAGGACCAGGCAAAAAAGCCTTCGTGGATTCTCGACCACCCAGTTTTTCTTTGATGGGATTTATCGACTGGTGTCACATTGGCAAAAGTGTGCTGATTCGAACGGTGCTATTTCGATTGAATCCGATGAGTATTAAGAAAGTTATGATCGTTTAAAGTGAAACACTCAAAACGCTGAGAACTTTCCGGACAACCTAATACAAGAAAAACTGAGCAGACTGAAGAAGAGGGACGGTGTGTGCGACATGCCGTGTCCAAAGCAGCCTCAATGCTTAGCTGTACTTGCTCATTTTTTCTCTTAAAACTTATTTTCTGAATACAGGTACCTCTCCAAATACGAGCAAATTGAAACAATTGGTGACATAGACGATATGTTAGATGGGGAAATGTCGCGATCCCGTGGCAGGCAGAGCTCATTTTTTGCCACCAACGATTGTCCCGTTGGAATGGGAAGGAATCATGGTATGTTTTGAAGACAGTTCTTCCCAGTTGTTATCAAAGGGCGTGATTTATTCAGCTTCGATGTCATATCCTAAAGATTCTTCTCCTTTGCAGAATACATTCGTCGTGATGAACGGGGGAACCCGTCAACAGAACCCGATTATGCAAAGTTAACAAAGTCGCTTTTGAGTGGACTACCTAACGAGGTGCGCTGGAGTCGCTCCCCTTTTTCATATATTGCCAGTTAATATTTTACGAAATGAGTTGATTACTTCGGTATTGCAGATTGATTTTGCTATGAATGTGTGCACACTTTTGTCGCATCCTGGGCCGCGTCTTCTCCGATTATGCCATGCACCGAATATAATAACTTTGCTGAATTGCTCACTGTGGAATCTTCGATGATGGTTTGTTTATATGCTGTTTTCAAGCTTTTTTTTTCTGCACAGGGGGAGGATGGTGGTGCCGCGGCGAGTTGCGCCGCTTGGTCAGCATTTATACTTTACTACTGAGGACACGTGGCGATTAGAGAGAATTGCGCAACGAGGAATGTATCGGTATCGACCTGACGATTGCGAAAATCGAGCGTTCTGGCGATTCTGGATACTCAAAGTCTTCATGGATTGCGCGCCAAAGATGTTTGGGTATCGTTCGGCGCCGGTAGCTAGCCCGCTTGCAGGGATCGCGCGGAAAGACGGCGATCTTCCAAACGCCAGATGGCGAGTTTCCTCAAATCGCTGCGGTGCTCGCTCTTTCGTAAGTCGTCTTATCGCCAGTTCTCCGCAATCGCTAGCGACCAGCGCCAAGTGAGACCCAATCACTCTATTGGCGCTCAATCGCGGGAAACGTTGGGTCCCCTTGGTCGCCGGGTTACTCGTCTGATAAGATCAGTACAGTGACCTGTACATCAGGAGACCCTCGCCAATCATTTTGTGGGCCAGCATGCATTCAGCCAAGTCTCTAGGACTCTGAATGGAAGCAGATGCATGGTACATTCGAGAAAGGGAATGACTGAGCGCGAAGAAGATGGATGAAACTTTCATCGTTTTATTCTTTGTTGTTGGATATAAGTCGTATCGTTCATTCGTAGAAGATCAAGATTATCTACGGCATCTACGCTACTGTATGGCAATGTAAATGGCGGCCGCGATTTCACCAATTTCTGGGCATCAGCTGGAATTCCCGAGGACATGTTGGAGAAGTTCGCACCACATGTTGTGGGAAAGAAGGTGGTACGTTGGAATATAACCTCCATTTCTTGTTTTAGGCTGATGACCAGCCCATATTCTTTTAGTCGTAATTTGCTGATATCAGTTGATAAAACAAGTACGTATGATAAGTTAAATAATATTTCTCTCTAAGGACTCCGACGGCGATCTATTCACCGGATTAGAAAGAGAGTTTGATGTGAAAGACCCCTTGTCGTGGAGAATCAACCAGGTATAATCATCTGGCTTGATTAGTCATTCGAATAGTACCAGTAACTTTCATTCAAGGTTTCGACGATAGTGAGGAATTTGTCGTTCGAGCCTATCAACAGAGTTACAATGGCTCAGTGTTGGCCACTATTTAGGTATTTTCTTTTCCAGGCTTTTCTTATTCCATAAACATTGTTTTGAATGCGCTCGCCTACTTTGCTGTCTCGCGTTCCTACCCAATCTCCTGACCTATCTATAGGCATTCCACATTCTATATCTATTTCTCCTGTCTGTCTATATGTCAAAAGTACGAACTCAACCCTATAGAAAGGCCGCTTCATAATTTGCGCGTCAGCATTTCGCACGCGTAATTCAGCGATCCTGCTGGCGTTTTCAAGCTGTTTTCGAGCCATTGCGAAGCTGCTAGGTATCGCATGGATCCCTTCTAAGAGCGTACGCCAGCGTTTTCAGTGAAAGCATCAGATAGATAGATATAAAGCACGCTAGATTGATATCTATACTTTCTCTGTCGCTCGAAACGCTGGCATACGCCGGATCGATACCTACACTTTTCCAGTCGCTCAAAACGCGCAAACCGCTAATATCGCTCGAAAGGCTCGGAAAGGTGTCGAGCACAAAAGGCAGACGCAAAGTGTATGAACGCACTCTTCGAGTGAAAACCCATGTGATTGGTACAGAACTCTTATTTCAGGTTCCTGTTTCTTTGTGCCAGTAGCAAGTGGGCACCTCTGTATACCGCGGCTATGGATACCTTGAGCAACTTGGCTTGCGATGTAATTTCTTTTTGATTCTTTTCGTTTTGAAAGCTTTTTGGCGCAGTTTGGCTTGGCGAGGGCATTTTGCTGGTTTTATGGATCATTACTTGCAGTTGCCTCATGCGAAGATCTGTGAACCCTTGATGTAGTATCCAAGCATCGCTTAGTGTTGGCATGAGGCTTTAGGTCTTACCCATTTGAGACGTGTAATTTAACAGGAACTAGTAAGAAAACCACCAAAAAAGCGAAACGGCCCCACCTTGAGCCGAAGAGCATCAGCTTTTTCAGCGATCTTTGTTGGACCTGCTGATATTCGATTCGCTCTTCTATATTCACTTTAGGTTGATCTGACTTGGCATAAAATGGTGCATTGTTCTGATCATGCTCTGCTCCGAATCGTGAAAGAGGGAATTTTTAGCAACGACAAGTTCAAGGTAAGTTGATTTCCCTTAGTTGCTTAGTGGTGGCGACTCGTACTCATTTGCGAACTTTTTTCAGTTGATACGCTCTTTGGAGATACTCACGGCACTCAGCAGTTTCGAAGGGAATGAGTCGACAATATGCGATTTTTTGGATAGCAAAATGTTTGAACACATATTCAATGTCGTCTGTATAAAAGACATAATGATGTGTGTCTACACCTTAGAGTGTCTCTATCAGGTGAGAATCTTCAGGGTAATTTTTGCCTAACGTGGTTGGAAGGGGGCAGCGCGACTGTGCCTTGTGCGACTTGAGTTCGACGACTCTAGTCGTCTGCGTTTTGCAAAGCCGATTCTTTGGCTTCGGTGAAGAAAGGAAGCAGATGCGCCGCCTGGTTTCCACTCTCTTCTCTTCCCCTCCACCGAATTGCGTCCAGTGCCCATTTTGAATGCCTTAAACATCAGTTTTATTGTTCTTCACTGTTCTCTCATTATCTTCCGGGA